TTTGTCCGCCTCTCTTCCGCTCAGCATCCCTGCGGGATCAGCAGCGTGTCGTCTCGATGATTCCGTCATCGCGGAACGAAGACGAGGAGGGAGACGAACGCGGCCCCCTTTCCTCCGCCGTGGCGTCGTTCAGGGACGTGTCTATCGATTTCATCTCGCGCGGCTGCATCACCGCGATGCGGTCGTGCTTTAAAGCCCGCTCGTGAAACAGGAGCGTCACGGCGTCGTTCTGGAGGGTGCATTCATGCGTCGTATCGCGAGTATTGTGCTATTTGCTAGATAATCCTGGCTCCCGTCGAGACATCGCGCACGAAAAAACTGGGTGACTTTTGCATCTCTTCTTTAAACATGAGTCCGATCTGATCTTGCGGAAGGGAAGAAACTTTCCTGAATGGCTCGCAAGAAACAACCAATTTCCAGACGAACTGCTCCTCATTGAATGAGGAAGAATGAATAACTTGCTTCTGATTGTAGAATTCAGTTCTATTATGAGCCATGAGAGATAAACCCCCCTTTCAGCGGAGAGTGCGAGAGCTTTTATCTCGAACGGAAAGAAACGCGCGAGGTCAACTGCGGGAATATTTTCCGAATGCGATTTCCCGTCTCGCGATTGAATAGATAACGCGAATACGCGATTTCGCTAAGCGTTTAACCACAAGCGTGACGTAATCGTGAAGAAATATCTGATGCGTTTCGAGAACCGCTTAAAGGACCGAAGCCTGTCTCTTCGGCGAGGCGTGATCAATTCCGAGAGCAGCGGAGCGCGAGTGGAAAATCCGAAGCGCCCCGATAAAATCGAGTTATCACCGTCGAACTCGGCCGCGCGTTTCGTGGCGACGCGGAAAGGCCGTCGATTACGACTGTCGGTCGATGCAATCGACTCGCAATCGGGCCGCGTTCGTCAAATAATCATTCGACGGGCTTGCTCAAGGATCGATGTAGTTTCGTTCGATTCCTTCCTCTTCCCCCCTCCCCCCTCCCCCGCGTGTAATTCCTCTCCCGCTGGTAAACCACTTGGGAAAGTACGCTAACTGCTCTCGACTAGGAAAGCTACTACGGGGAGTTTGCAGTTTCAGACCCGGTAATGGCAGGTTTATCCCGACATCACTCTCACCGATACATTATGCACTTTCGATCCGCGTAGCATTCGCTTACACGCGTGCGGAGAGGGGAGGAAAGTGTGCTGCACAACCGCTGATTATATTTCGCCGCCGGTAATTAACCGCTCGTTCCCCCAGAATCGAAGAAGTTCGACCCGGCTATAAACACGGCTGACGTAACTCAGGGCGTAACTATTGCTTAGAGAGGCTACACCGTAGCTTCTTGCGCGATGCCACGCTCGTGGTGTTTATGGAAAATAATTTTTTGGACGCGTGAAATAAATTCGTGAAATAAATTCGCTTCACAGGCATTGTTGAAAACATTCGAGAAATTATACGTCTGACGGAAAGCAACGAAATGTGTCGCGCTTTCCATAACTTTATAACTTTATAACTTTCAATAATGTATTTTATATTGATATCACGCTAAAGTAAATCGAGCACAGATAAGAAAAGATTATTGTAAAATGTCATTTTCATTTTTAAGTCGACTTATCGTAAGGAGAAGGAGTCAAAACGACATCGTATGTTCCGAGTTATATTTCGGCGTAAGACCGTCGGGTAAGGATTATTATAAAATCACGTCACGCCGGCGGGAAATAATCCTTCAGAGGCTGAAAAACTGGGATTTATGTGGCAGTTTAGCACACGATGACGTCGTAAAACTGCACGGGCATGCGTACGTGTTGTTCTGACAAAGTGGGAAAGGAAACAGCGGCCCTGCCGGACGCAGCTCGAGTCTCCTCCGCACACATCGGGCGGCATTGTCTCTCGGGAAATATACGATTTTAGATCCGCCTTCTGTTCCCGAGAAATTTACTTCTTCCTGCTGCCTCCGCCTACCGCGATCACGTTCCATCACGCTCGATTACACAGCGGGGAGACACCTTATCGCGACTTATTGCTGCGTGAAGCGGAATAGATTTATAAAGCAACACTTCCTCGGATTTTTATAATAATTTTCATACCTTGGCAGACTCTTCGAAGATGCTGCCCCTATTTTTCTTTTTTTTTTTTCTTTCACTCTAACATTCTTCTTATTCAGAGCACTTTGCGAGATCGTGCCTCGCGATGGAAATGATGATCGAAGGCGATCCTCCTGCTTTATCCCGCTCGTAACGATTTATGCTTTCGGGAGATGGCGTACGGTCTATTTCCTCCCCGACGCTTCTCTTAAATAATACACAACCGAGAATATCGTGTCGTCGTCCGACTTTGCAGCTTTTATCGGAATCTCCGGGACGGACGTGATTTCCACGCACCCTTCGGGAGTTACGGGGCGCAAACCGACTTACAAAACGTCGACATGAATAATGCAACCGCCAGTCGTCCGCTCGTCGTGTTTATGCCCAGCCACCCCCACAGTAAACTCTTTCAGCTAATTCATCAATGAGCTTGCTTTATAGCGTTACATTGCGAAATTACACGTTTCACGTCGACATCTCGACGCGATAAAACACGCGTTATTTTCTCCCTCGCCCGAGCGCCCCTTGCGACCACCTGATTTAATCTCGAGATAAATACGACCGTATTACTACGCACCCTCCTCTCCCTCTAAGGGGCGCACGATCGCGCGACCTTTGCGCAACTCGCCGCAACTCGTCGACATGAAAAATATGTTTGGGGCGGCGTAGGCAGCATCTAGCGAGCGCCTATTTGTGCCCCCTTTCGCGGTAGGCAAATGATCCTAACTTGGTGGCGAGGGTACAACCTCGACGACGCGGCCGATAGGGGCGCGTGCGCGCAGCTGCGCAGATTTTACATCCCTCAAGATCAAGAGGATCGACTGGTAGCGGGAGGAGAACCGGTAGCAGCCCCCAGACACGAATTCGTATCTCCGGCATATTTGACAATACACCACTCGTAGCCGTGCGCTGATTGCCAATCTAGCTCTCGGTTCGCGCGGAAACGTGTCGGCCGGATGGATTTGTCGGTTGCGGAATCACAGAGAGAAATACACAGTTACAGATTTCTGGGGGCGATGTGATTTCGCACACTGAAATAGAGAACGACGTTTTTTACCGCGGCCAACCGCGAGCGATTTTGGCCAAAATCACCAATCGATCTCGAGCATTACGCGGATGACCGCGATAAAAACTCATAAATCTAAAAAAGATTTAACTCGCGAATTTGACGCCGCGATACTTTAAAAACGTCCATTTGAATCTTTCACTCGAAAAGAAAATATGGAAGCTTTTATTTTAACTTGAAGTCCTACGGATAAAAATTCCTATCGCCGTTGTTTACTTTAACCCGTCGATTATCCATCGAGATTAATTTATGATTCATTACCCCGCATTTAGCTTGACTGAAACAATAATTAGCGCCGTTGCGGCGGCTGTGATTTTCTTGCGCATAAGTAGAACAATCGATGCGCGATAAGCCAAGCCGCGTGGAGGTTTGCATCGTGCGCGGGCGATTTCATATTTACTCCTTATCGCATCGCGCGGCTTATCACGCTGCTGATCTTAATTAACCGTAATTATCGCCAGCTTTGTCGTTTGTCAAAGTTTCGGCGAATCTTGATAGCACGACGACATATGCTCATTTCTTACATAACCTCGGGCTCCTTCGGGAAATTAATAGCATCAGCCATAAACACAACTCCGCTAATTAGTAAAATAATCAACCCCCTTTAATCAACAAATCGAAGCAAAAAGCAGACGCGAGATAAGCTGACGGCCAAAAAATGCACTCTGAGTTGTAGTGGAAAGACATTTCAGATCTTTTTACAAGAACAGTCCATTAATTTAGGGTCTTAAGCGCTCAGCCTAGCTTCTTTACACATAAAATATTCTTTTCGTCGTAATTAAGGATTTTCGTTTTTCGTACTTAGCCAGCGGTCTGGCGGTCATTCTTCAAATTATAGTCTAACAGCCGTGCAAATCCGGATAAGTAGCCATACGGGGTGTCGGGGGTGCGCTAGGGATCGAACGTAAGATCGGATGTGATATCGTCAAGGTCGTTGGAACGACGCCCACGTTGCTCTCTCCTCCTCCCTCCCTCTCCCTCCCTCCCTC